AAATTCTACAGTTTGAAATTTAAATTGTCTAAATTAAACTTTTAATCACAAAACATAAATTTCAAAACTTGAGGGCAAGTTTTAAACATTTAAAACATAAAGTATCAAATAACAAATAATTTAAATTAACAATTAATCACATAATTATCCATATTTGATTTATTTATGATTTCTTGAAAAACAATTTATCAATTTAATCAAAATAATTAATAATTATCATATAAGGAAATTAAATATTTTATTAATTGATAAATATATTCAATTAGATCAAAAATATAGTCATATACCATAAAATCGGATTTGGGTTGATCTAATATGATAAAGGTAAGTTTCCATAAGATAAATATGAAACAATCCCAATTTTGGCTCTTCTTGACGCTCGGACTCGCCGAGTACCCACTCTGGACTCGCAGAGTCAGGCCAACTCGCCGAGTCCACTATGGGACTCACCGAGTCCATGACTCCGAATCACAAAATTCGAATTTTGCAGGTAAGATTCAAACAATCAAGCAACAATTTAATAGAAACCAATCTAGGCTCTGATACCACTGATGGGTTTTAGCCATATGAACATTCCTATGTGCACATGCAAACCCTAATGCTTGGATCTAGGTTTCTCTAATTAAACATGCATTGAATCCAAGACTTCTAATGACTAATTAGGTATAAGAACAATACAAAACCAGAGATAGAAGCTTACCTTGAAACACTTGTTTGATCTTCTTGTTCTTAGAGCTTTAGAGTCACAAATGTCACTCCTCTAATGGCTTACAAACACCAACTAGCAAGAGGATGATTTAGGAGAGAGGAGAGAGGAGGAAATCGGCCAGGGTTTCCTTGTTGTAGAAGAGGTGCCGATTTCCCTATCCCAAGGGGTCTATTTATACTTGTAAGGCTCCTAGGGTTTCACCCTTAAACCCTAATTGGATAACTTAAACTCTAAGCAATCCTAATCCTTTCCTTAGATAGGCCTTGGAAGAATTTGAGGCTTATCCTAGCCCTAGAAATCATCCAACCCTCATCCCTTAAGGATTTACAGCCCAAAGTGTAACTATCAAACAAGTGACAGTTTATACCTTCTTATTTAATCTATTTAAGTCACCAAATTAATACTAATTAATCTATGACTTATATTAATCAAATAACAATATTATTATTCCTTATATTATTCTCATAACATATTAATAATATCTATTCTCTCATAATAAATCATCCTGTCAAGTTGCTATGGTGAAGGTAACCCAAAAGGAACATGCACAATCGGTTCAAATACTTGCCTAATATAGTTGCAGCCTTAGACACTATTCCAACATGAAGATCCCGAGAAATTTATCTTTTCGATTTAAAGCTCAACCCTTGCAGGGCTCGATTTTCAATAAAGCTCCTGATTTTCAGTGAAGAAACCTATATATTATAACGAAGTGCTGCACAAATTACTATTTTAACCTCCGATTAATTCACATTGAGCTCAATACATAGGAACAATTGTATGTTATGTGTTATATGTGTTATGTGCTTTTCTGTATTGTTATCTCGTGTTGTTATTCCATGCTATATTGGTAGCAAAGTTATACCTTTGACCATGTGATCAATGAAAGGACTTAGATTCACGGTGGTACTGATATGTAGCCTCTGGCAATGTAGAGCATGTCTCATAAGAGAATGATTTCTATTCTATGGTATTGATAGAAAGTTAGATAGGGCTGAAAGCCTGAAATCTACTAAAATGTTTAATCAACAATTGTATGTCTTCTATGCCATTTGGGCCAAAGCTTTATTGATGTATATCAAGTATTGTAATTGTTATGTCTCATTGGTTGAATATCTTTGAATCAAATCATCACTTTATATGGAAAACTTGTCCCATGATTCATATATGTCTTTGTTGTTCCTCTTTGCTTATGCCATATTAATGTATATATATGGTATAGCGTTATATTGTATCTATTATTGAAATCACTAAGCTTCATTGCTTACCCCTCTTAGTGTTTAATAAACTGTAGGGGATAGGTAACCAGTATAGTCGTATACTGTTGGAAGGTTTAGAATATTTATAATATTACTTTTGTATTTAGGGATCATGTATGTATAAAAGTATAGTATCCTGGGTAGTTATGTAATATATAACACTTTGTAATAGTCGGTTTGTATCCAAACTTTTGTAATCAAATTATCAATGTAAAATATTATTTATAAATATACATGTAGCATGTTTCGAAGTAATTTGGAGTAATATTGTTTATATTTATGAAAGTGTGGGTCTTTCATTGAGATAGGTTAGAACAAGTTTCTAGTACTAGGTTAGGGATCTTCAGAAATTGTATGATAGAATTGTCTAATTGTACGATGCTTGATAGCCTAGGGTTTTCCTTATATGAAATTTGAATCATTACTGTAGTTGCTTAGTGTATCTATCACAGTTATACATAATTAAGATCTTATAGCCTAAGAATGTTTGGTTTGACCTTTTTCATGTTATTGTTTGATGAAGGGCTTAGGCTAGGATCAGGTATTCGAAAGTCCATAGGGTCCAATGCTATGTATGGCTAGAATACACGAGTGTTGCACGGTTGGTGGAAGTTTCATGGGTGGGATGTGTGAGACCGGTAGGCCAGTTTGAGATATTTAGCATTCCTCTAGGAATGAGGATTGAGTGATCACCATGTATATGTATACTGTTAGGGTGTTGTGATGATACTTGAGACAAATATGGGTAGGTATGGAAGGTAGTATTGTCCCATACTACTGAAAGCACATAACCCATACGCGTAGCAAGGAAGTTACAACACATAAGGTTTAGTTGGGAGTTGGTTCCCTGTTATTTATGTGGATTATCTATTATCTTCCTAGTGTAATTTCAGTATGGTGGTTACGAGGTTTTTTGAGACTAGATATGGATCAGAAACATGACAGGGCGATCAGGGTGCCCCGATAGCACCCGAGATCATCGGTAAGGATAGGCTAGCATTCACAGAGGATCGTGTCAGGGAGATCATACGTGAGGAGGTGGTTGAGATTGCCCAGGGTCAGATTCCAGAGATGTTTTGGTTTATTAAGACCGACATGATGGAGTATTTTGATGACATACATTCAGCTCCTGCTGAGACAGCTGCCACAGCAGCTAGAGCAGTTGTAACAACAGCAGGGGGACAAGCGAGTTAGGGCTTGCAATACCAGGACATCAATAACATGAAGGCCCCGACATTTGATGGGACTCAGGATCCGATCAGAGCCATGAGGTGTGTGTCTAACGTGGAGGGTTGTTTCTTCACGTGCTCATGTCCTATTGACCAGAAGGTTAGATGCACCCTGAACCTACTGAGATTTGAAGCATAGGACTGGTGGAGGTTAATGATGGGATCTTACATTAATGATCAGAGAGCTGTAGTTACTTGGGAGCAGTTCAGGGATATGTTTTTCGCTCACCACACCCAACGGGTCGAGTGGGAGCCTCCATAACTCAATATGTCGAAGCCTTAATGGTTTTCTCATCATGAGGATTCCTTCCCAATTAGGCTATATTCACATTAGTTTCTGAGCTACCTTACTCTTCCAACTTTACACATTCTGCAAATCCCTAAATTCCTTTGCCATTTAATCACTCTGTTTTCTTCAAAAATTCCTCAAACCCTAACAATGGCAGCGAAGAACACCAATGTTGAAGCATATCAGATGATGGATGATATTACATCGCAGCCTCTCATGAAGATCCAAAGCACTAATTTCCGAGTTAATCCTGATGTTAATCAATATTTAGACATGTTGCAGATTCTTATTGTTGCTTTGGAAAGTTTAGTCTTATCTACTGCAATGTTCTCTTCTTTCTCTGTACCCATGTCGTGGTTATCCCTTGTTGGTTCAAAAGTAGTTTATAGCAAGGCAGTGAAATTGGTTACCTTTCAATTGATAAATGATAAGAAGTTCAAACTCACCAAGAAGCTTTTTTCACAAATCCTGAAACTTCCTACTATTGATAATTTCTAAGAAGTTTCTAGTGATCAAGTTCTTCATATGTTCAACGAGATGGGTTACCAACCAGTTCTTACCAAAACCAGTGAGTTTAAGAAATCTGGTCTACCATATTTGTGTAATTTTCTTTTTGGCATTTACCTTCGATGCTTAACTGGTCGAAGTGTTGGGTTATATAAGGCCAAATTGGAGATTTATGCGTTGGTTGCAGGCATATATATTATGATAATCCTGTTGATTACACCACTCAATTATGGGAAGAGTTTATGAAAAGTATCAGTAACACTAATGTTGTGAATGACATTTCCTATGCTCGTTATTGGAGTTTCACACTTCAATTTTCCTATGACAAGGAAGGAATTCCAGTTCTTGAAGATGAACAAACAACAAAATTTTATTTATATAACTTTCTGAAGCTTGTTGAAGACGATGAGGACGTGTTTCCTACTGTTGCACATATTCCAGATAGCATGCTTCGCAAGGTTGATCCTTCTAATCCGATATTGGTTGCTTATCTAAAAACTATCAATCATTCAATTGAAATTGGTGTTTTATTACCTAAGAACATCGGTCCATCCAAGAAGAAAAAAGAGTCCAAGAAGCAGGCTAAGGGGAGTCCTTCAAAACCAGAGCAAGTGGAGAAGGTTGTCAAAGCTACTCCAAAGAAGGTTATTAAGCCTGATCAACCATTAAAGACAATACAAAAGCGTCTTGTGGTTGAATCTTCTTTTCCTGTGATAGAGGCCATTCCTTCGAAATTTGGGATTCTGAAACGATTGAAGAAGATGGCTCACAGGCCGCATCATTCTCCTGAGAGGTCTAGCAGTCTTTCTCTTAAATTTGTTTTGCAGGTCACTCGTAAGCCCCAAATTAATCGCAAATGTGTTGTGATTCGAGCGATTCCAACTCATGTCACTCTGACTTCCAAAAAGCATAGGGATGAAGACATGGCTAAAAATGTTACAAAGAAGAAAAGGTGAGTGCTAGTTGAAGATGAAGACAAAGTTGTACCGTAGTCACCTATTCATGATATGATTGTTTCATCACCAAAGTGGGATTCTCTAATCAAGTCGAATGTCGAGGAGATTGTAGATCTTGATGTCTTTGTGAAAACATTTCATGTGGATACAACCACTAATCAAGGTGATCAATCGAAAGTATCTACTACTAAGAAGACTACTATCATACCACCCGGAATTTCGAATGTCGAATCGGTTACTGAGGAGGTTCGAACTTCAAGCATCCCTGTGAACATGTCTAATATGGACATAAATGTCAGTATGGGTGAAGGAGTGTTGACTACCGAACCTCAAGGTAAACCTATAATTGTTATTTCTTCTACTTTCGACACATCTACCATATCATCCAATCTTTCTTTACCACCATTTGTCTCTACTGTTTCCACCACTTTACCACCAACTACTTATTCTCCAACCTTTGATCAAATCCTTCAACAACCTATTACTTCTCTTTTTCCATACCAATCCACTTATCCTAGAACAGTTAATGATGATGCCACCACTAACAATGGTGAGTTCACGAGTACATTTGGTGATCTTGAGTTTGATCAGGAGGAAGAAAACATATCAAATCACATGTTAGTATTTGGTAAATAGTTCAAAATTCTTAACAGGAAGTTGAACCCATTATTACAACTTCAGGCGAATGCAGGGGGTTGTAAGGGTGGTTTATGTAATGTTCAAGTTTCAAGAGCATCGTTTAAGGGATGAGTTAGAACATATTGACAGACACAACGAGAACCGAGTTAAGGCTCAATCATCTTCTTTTAATCTGAAACTGAAAGAATTGAAAGATGTGGAAAAAGAAAAACATCTTTTATATGTTCAAGTTGTTAAGAAAGTTCGAGAAGATGTGAATCTCAAACTGGAAAACTTAAGGGTAGATATGGCGAAGGAAGTTGCTGCTATATCTCATGATTTTTCTACTCTTTACACAAAAGTAGATATCATCGCATTTGCAGTTGTAAATTTTTTCAAATGGTATAAATCTTTAATACCGAAGGTTGATAAAATCGCAGAGATTGATTTACAAAATTTTTCTAAGGTTGAAGATTTTTTGCATAACCTTAAGGATTTAGTCTCGAAGATTGGTTTATCATCTTCATTGCTTACTCCTGAGTCTTTAGCCCAAAGGTTTGATGCTTTGGAGTCGACACTCAAAGCTGAATTGGCTCAATTAGCAAATTTAATGAATTTGATCCCAACGAATGCCTCACCTGTTCAAACAGGGTAGAATGGGGAGAAGGTACTGGTGTTGGCATTGGGGGAAGTTCGAAGGTTAGCTTGGGAGGCAACAGATCTTCGTAAGGAGATGAAGATGCAAAGGTTGTTGGAAAGGTGATAACTACTCAACTTCACACCTCATTACCAAAGATATCCACGATTACAACATCAACAACAACAACAACAACAACAACGAAACTAATAGAAAAAGGAGTTGTGATTGGATCTGCTGAGGGAGGGCCAAGTTCTTCAAAACCACCTCCTTCCATTGAAGAAATGCATAATATAGGAAGGGGTATTTATAAAGAGCATTTAAAAAGAAGAAAAGAAAGCTTCTATCAAAAAATAAATGGATAAACTAAGCCAAATCCATAGCATTCTTGGATTAAGGAAAAAACGATCCTCCTGGTCTCAACAAAGGTAATCCTACGAAGCATTATACTTATGCATACATTGAAGCTTTGGTTGTGACAGGGGATATGCATGATTTTGAAAAAGTCCCCAAGAAGAGCTATAATATTAAGGACAATGATTTCAATTAGTTGGACCTTCCTATCAATCACATGATGTTTGTGGATGAGCAGTTCGAGGTTGCAAGGAGATACAAAGATAAAATTGAATTCAAACTCATGAAGTTTCGTTTCCGTGCAGTGTTAGGAAAAAAGGAGGAGGAAGTTTGGTCTCTTGTCAAGATAGTTTGTGTTCTCAACATATCCAAATATGTTTTGCTCGAGGGTGCGTTGCAGAATTAGCGATATCATGCAATCCGAGCCAACAATGTTGCATTTGATTTCTCAGTTGAAGTCTTCCCAATAATGAACCTTCATGATATGTTGTGTGTTGAGAAGATTTTGAAAAGTGTTGATGTCTCGAAGCTACAAGTATCAAACAAAGAAAACTTCTTGCTTGGATTCACACAGTTGAAGGTATTCATTGATGGTTATTATGGTTTATTGGCTCTGACAGATGTTGAATTAGCTCAAGCATTAGGAAAACAGAACTCTGTTTCATAATCAATGTTGAAAAGTCAGGCAAGTTTGAAAGATTTTGAAGATGACGAGATCTGTATGAAGCCATGTGGAATAGTTTTTACTGGAAAAAAATATGAAAGGAAACAACACTAAATTCTTGTTCCAAGTATGTGATGTTGGGAGATCACAACTTCACATTATACAAATCTCATGGTTCGAATGAACAATTGTGCTAAGAACAATGATAATGAAAAGGCTAAAATTCAAAAAGTGATCAATTGGTATGCTGAGATACGAAGGGTCATTCACCAACCTTCTTTGATGCTGACGGCTTAGATTCGTCATTTATCACAAGGGGGGGGGGGGGGGGGGGGGTCGAATGTTTTTGTGAGATGTCGAATGTGTCTAGGTCGTTCCGAGTGTCGAATGTCTGTTTGTAAAATTATTATAAGGACATTTGAGTTTCGAGGCTATAGTCTTGAGTCCCTTATATTTTTTTTTATTTGCTTTCTTTATCACTATATATATATATATATATATATATATACATATATACATATATATATATATATATATATATATATATATATATATATATATATATATATATATAGGATTGATACATGTCTTAGGAGTTAAGTTTTGGCACACTGATTGTACTCCTTTTGTAGCCTCATGTATTATCTGAAAGCAATATATTGAGCTAACTAGATTATATTTAGATTCGGTGTTATAAATCTTTTCTTAACTCTGATTTCATATTCATACTTGATTCAATCTACTCTTCAGATTCATATATTAAAAGCACCAATCAGAGAAAATGAAACTTGTTATTATGAACACAATTTCAGGACAAAACGGACCTACATCGCTTTATTGTGTCAATCAACCACGTCGTCACATTTCAAATGATCTCGTCTTCCATGAACAGACAAAGCATGTCGAAATGTATTGTTACTTTGTCATGAAGCGAGTGGAATCACAAGAAATTGAGCCTTTACATGTCAACACTAAACTACAGATAGCTGATCTTCTCACAAACGCACCAGAATCAAAACAACTCAAGTTCTTACTTGTCAATCTGGGCATGCAAAACCTACACGCTCCAGGGGGTGTTATTGAAATGTACGATACAATCGCCTTTTCTATCTTCCAATCACATTTACTACATGACTAGTCTTTAGATCCTAGAATATTGTGTTTCCTTTCTTGTTTTTACGTTTTTCCTATTTAGGTTTTCTTTGTAATGTTTTACTAATGAAAATAGAAAAACATAGAAATCAATTACTCTAAGAATCTTTAACGCAAACCCATTTACCTTCATATTGTGTCACGAATCATTTCGAGACTTGCAACCCCTAGGAAAAATTGTTCTCCATGTCGAACAAAATTTTGTTCTGCACCTCTCAACATTTTACAAAAAACTCTTGTAAAACAACTTTCAAAGTAAGGGTATGTTTGACAATCAACTTTTAGTAGTTTTTTTTATCTTTTAGTTTTAAAATTTTTTTTTAAGATAAATATTTATTCCGGATTATGAGGTTAAACCTTTATTTTAAACTTAAACCTTTATTTTAAATAAAAAGGAAAATTACTCATAAGGGTAGTTATGCTTTAAAATCATTAAAAAAAAAACACATAAGTTTGCTATGTTTAAAAAACATCATCTAAATAAAGTCTTTATACAAAAAACACCGACAAACTAAAGATTTTATTCAAATATCATCTAGGGTTAACCGATTCTTGCAGGTTCACAATGGATGTTACCTGGAGCTACTAATAATTTGTTACATTAGATAAACAATATACAAATAAAATATAAACCTCTTTATTTTCCATCAAACCAAGAACAACCAGGTTTATCTTCACAGCCAACAACCCAACACCCACCATGCGACTACCTTTTCACTCCGTTGCCACCTTCCCTTAAGGTTCCAACCACTAGAGACACTCAACCGTCAGAATCATCACCATCTCCACCTCAAACTACATAGTAAAACCATCACTGACCACACATCCCCATAACTATCTTCCACCACCCTTTACAATTTACACCACTATTTACTAGCATATACCACGAAATAAGAACTTCCACCTCAAACATCGGACCTCAAAAATACCGCAAACCATACCCATCACTTTAGACAAGAACAACAACCATCATCCCCTTTATACCTTATGTTCATCTCAACCGACTACCCATATCACCAAAACCACCGTGAAACACTAACCACCAGAACCGATACCACCTGCTCCAGTCGAGAAAACCACCACATGTTTTCGTTGAACACACCACCGAAGCCACCCTTCAAACACCGTGAATCAATATCAGAACACCCACTACCGAACACCACCTCAATAGAAAACTCAAACCACCCTTATTCTAGCCACCCGCTTCATTGGAACACCACCAAAACTTCACCTAAATCCACCACGACCTCAATAAAAACCACCCATCTCTTTCCTATCACATAACTGAGAACCATCCTTATACCGCCACCATCGCCTGCTAAACCATCTTGGCATAGTCACCTCTTCCGAACACTACTACGAGTCGACTACCTATACATCAAAACAACAACATACCAATACCACCATCGAAGCCAGTCAACCCACCTTCCATCACCTTCTCCACATTTAAAAAAAAAAAAAGCAATCGAGCGTAAGCCACCACTGTGCACCACGATGTCATTGTTTTTTCCTCTTAATTAATTGTGTCTTGGAAGGGAACTAAATGAAGTAGGATTAGAGCTTCAATGATTCAACTGTGTGTGGCTACGCATAACAAAGGAATACATAGGGTTTTTTTTTCTTAGGGCAATTTTTGGGTTTTTTCTTGATCGAATGGAAACAAATAAACAAAAGCAACCGGTAATATATTTGTCTCACCTATAAAAGTCAGTTACCAATAGGTGTCATTTGAACAAAATGTGTGGTTTATTGGTGTTTTTTGTACAAAAAAACTTATTCGGATAGATTTGAACATTTTTAGATGGTATTTTCTAAATAATTTTGAAACATAATTACATTAATAAGTGATTTTTCCTAACTAAAAAAATAAAAATCTTTAATTCAAAAACTATTTCTAGTAGTTTTTATTTTTAACCTTTATGTTAATGAACGTTCAAACTTTTCAAAAAGTTATAACTATTTTGGTTGAACATTTGTTAAAATAAAAGTATTAATTGACAACTGATTTTCCAAATATATCCCAAAACTTCGTTTTCACGATATAAAGGTCTCTCATTAATTAACATATTAACAATTTTGTAGAAAGAAAAACAATTTCATTGTATGCAGTTCTCATTTACTTTTTCAACATTTCTTTTGCAAATTTGTCAATGAATAGTGACATTTCTAGCGGTCCATTTCACAATTCAAACTCATTTCATAGTCCATTTGGCAGGGTTTTTGACTTAACATCATCGTTTATAGCATTTCATGCCCAGTAAGCCAATATATATTTCGTATGGTCCCCAAAAAATGTGGTTATATGTCTAGGATTTGTTTAATTTTTGCTATTACTTGCCAAAGGTTATATAAATTTAGCTATTTTTGTCAAAATTTTCGAAATATAAACTCAATATTTACTAAAACATAACTAATAAAGAAAAATTGTTGCTGCGACTACACATGAATGTTCTCTCGTTTATACAAAATATTATGCTTTTTGTCGTGAACTTTACTATATATTTACAGGCGAATCAGAAAATTTAACTATATTATGTACGGATTCTGATTTAGGTCATTCTGAAACAACAAAAATAACCATAATCAAATAACTATCGGTCAATTCGGATTAGTTTATGAATTCATGTGACAAATTTCTCATTTTTCATTCACAATTCCAAGAAATTCTTGACACCAAATACAATAAAATCAAATACCCACCTTATTTTTTCACAAGTACTTTGTAAAACAAAAGAAAAATCATAAAGATTCAGATATTAAAAGCACCAATCAGAGAAAGTGAAACCTGTTATTATGAACACAATCTCAGACATACGTTCTTGCAACTGCATGACTTCTACTCCTGGGA